ATACAACCCTCCTAGATTAAGCCAGGAAGAAATAGAAACTCTGAACAGACCAATAACAGTAAGTGAGATTGAAATGGTAACTAAAAAGTTAGCAACAAAAAAAGTTCAGGACCAGATGAATTCACAGCTGAATTATACCAGACATTTAAAGACGAATGGTACCAATCCTATTGAAACTGTTCCAAAAGATAAAGAGAGAATCCTTCCTAAATCATTCTATGAAGTCAGTATCGCCCTAATATCAAAACCAGGAAAGGACATAACAAAAAAAGAAAACTACATGCCAATATTCCTGATGAACATAGATGCAAAAATCCTGAACAAAATACTAGCTAACAGAATCCAACAGCATATAAAAAAGATAATCGACCATGATCAGGTGGGTTTCATACCGGGATGCAGGGATGGTTTAACATCTGCGAGGCAATAAATGTGATACACCACATAAACAGAATTAAAAATAAAAATCACATGATCACCTTGATAGATGCAGAAAAAGCATTTGACAAAATCCAGCATCTCTTTATAATTAAAACTCTCAACAAAATTGTCATAGAAGGGGCATACCATAAGGTAATAAACGCCATTTGTGACAAACCCATAGTCAACATTATACCAAATGGGGAAAAGATGAAAGCATTCCCCCTGAGAAATGGAACAAGACAAGGACGCCCACTTTCACAGCTTCTATTCAGCATAGCACTGGAAGTCCTAGCCAAAGCAATTGGATAAGAGAAAGAAATAAAGGGCATCCAAATTGGTAATGAGGAAGTCAAACTGTCACTGTTAGCTGATGACATGATTGTATACCTAGAAAACCCTAAGGACTCATCCAAAAAGCTCCTAGAACTGTAAAGTAAAGTTTCAGGATACAAAATTAATATACACAAATCAGTAGTAAAGTTTTAATTAAGTAAAGTTTCAGGATACAAAATTAATGTACACAAATCAGTAGCTCTGCTATACACCAACAGTGACCAAGCTGAGATTCAAATCAAGAACTCAACCCCTTTTAAAATAGCTGCAAAAAAATAAAATACTTAGGAATATACTTAACCAAGGAGGTGAAAAACCTCTACAAGGAAAACTACAAAACACTGCTGAAAGAAATGATAGATGACACCAACAAATGGAAACACATCCCATGCTCATGGATGGATAGAATCAATATTGTGAAAATAAGCATACTGCCAGAAGCAATCTACAAATTCAATGCAATTCCCATCAAAGTACCACCATCATTTTTCACAGAATTAGAAAAAAATAATTCTAAAGTTCATATGGAACCAGAAAAGAGCCAGCACAGTCAAAGCAAGACTAAACAAAAAGAACAAATCTGGAGACATCACACTTCCTGATTTCAAACTATACTATAAGGCCATAGTCACGAAATGGAATGGTATTGGTATAAAAATAGTCATGTAGTCATTTTAGAGTGACTAAGTATATAAGAGAAATACTGATAATGCAAAAGAGCCTTATCTATTAAATGCACCATGGGTCCATAACTTGCAAACAATGCTGGTTCTGAACATGTACATGACCCCAAAGTCTTTGGTCATGTTCTCTTGTCTCCTTCCTTACTCTCAGCACACACCCCACAGGCAACAAAGCTGCCAACCTCACCTCATAAATATGGTCTTTGCTTCTCAGTCTCTCTTCTTTCTGCCTCTTTCAGGCTTTCTCCCTCTTTAGTTTGAACCACTAGCCTGCAGGCTGGTCTTCCCGCCACTTGTCTCTTTCCCAGTTCCCATTCTTTATGCTTCATGTGCTGCCCAGATAGGTTCTTAGAAAGCAGAACTGACTGTGTTACTTTCCTACTTAGAAACTCCTGGTGCATTGTTGCCTATAGGATGAAACCCAAACTCCTGAACTTGGCGTGGAGGGTCCAAGCTGCCATATTCAGCACTACCTGCCATCAGTGTAGCTTCTGCCACTGTGAACTTGCCCTTAGGACTCTGGAATGGTGACCCCAGGACTCTGTTTTCAACTCTATGGCAGATTCTGACATCATGCTTTGTCATAATTCAGTTACTTAACTGTTTCCCAGTAGACTGTGACTCCTGTGGATGACCACAGTGTCTCACTCATTTTTTTCATCTCAGTGTCTCATGCTTTGACTAGCACACTGTAGAAGTTGTTAATGGACACCTAAATGAATGAATGAATGAAAATTCCTCTCCCAATTTTTATCTAATAAACTCATCAGTTTTCAAGTCTTAGGTTATAAAGGTGCTTCTCTAAAGACTTTCTTGACTCTAATACGGCAGAATTAATTGCTGTCATGGTAGTTGCATATACTCCAGTGTTCCATGTTAGGTCATAAGCGACAAAAGCAACCTGGAGGAGTGAAAAGGATATGAGCTTTGGAGGCAAATGACCCTGGGCTAATCACTTAGCCTTGACACTCACTGTTTGTGTCACCTTCAATAAGTAGCTCAGCTTTTCTGAAATGAATATTCGTTTCCTCATCTTTAAACGGAGTTAACGCCACTTCCTCATAGGACTGAGGGAAAGATTAAATAAGCAAGTAAAAGTTCATGACACATGAAAATTTCATTAAATTTCAGCATTTATTTCCTCCCCCTGGGGTGAAGACCCTATTTAATTCATACCTAGGTTCCCAGAACTTCAGAAACTATAGAAATTCAGTAAATGTTTGGTAAGTAAATAAATGATTCCGAGTTGTAGTTAGTCAAAAGTAGTGTAAGTATATACTTTAAAAAGGTCTTTTAAACTAATACAATTGTTTATTAATTCCTTTCTACTCAGTATAAATATCACTTTCTAATACTCTGAAATGTCTTGAATCAAATTCTTCTCATTTTAATGATTATAGTATCTAAAGTATACACACGTCTTGTGGTTTGAGGCATATTTTCAGACCTTTCAACTACACTTCGATTTGTACATTTCCTTTATGTCACTGTAAAGTATGTTTGTGAAATGTTTGAATAATAAGTAACATTTATTTTGTAATGGTATATATATCACAATTTTAAGTAAGACAAAGCAAAATATAAAATTGTTCATACAGTGTAATAGCAGCTCTGTAAAAAATCATCAAAAACCATGGACATTTTCTGCCAGAAGTTGAAAAATCCATCCTAACATTTGTATAGAATCTCAAGGGACTTTGAATAGCTAAAACAATTTTGAAAAAAAGGAAAATTGAAAGACTCACACTTCCTGATTTCAAAACTTGCAATGAAGCTATAGTAATCCAAACAGTAGTATAGACCATCGATGTATAAGAAGCCCAGAAATAAATCATCATATATAGGGTCACATGATTTCCAACAGGAGTGCCAAGACCATCCAATGAGGAAAGAATAGTTTTTTTTCAACAAATGGTATTGGGAAAACTATATCCACATACAGAAGAATGAAGTGGGGCCTTTACTTTACAACACCACCTACAAAAATTAACTCAAAATGGATCAAAGACCCAAATGTAAGAGTTAAAACTAGAAAACTCTTAGAAGAACACATAGGAGAAAGGCTTCATGGAAATAGGGTTTGGTAGTGATTTTTTTTTATGTGACATGGAAAGCACAGGCAACAAAAGAAAAAATAGATAAATTAGACTACATCAAAATTGAAAACTTTGGGCGTCAAAGGCACAATCAGCAGAGTGAAAAGGAAACCTAGAAATGAGAACAAATATTTGCAAATCATGTAGCTGACAATGAGTTAATATCCAGACTATATAAAGAACAACTGTAACTCAACAACAAAAAAACAACCCAATTAAAAAATGGGCAGAGCATTAGCATTTGAAAGAACAATTTTGGAAACTTAAAGCTCAGTTAATTTGGATCTGTTATTTGATTTATCCATTAAAGTTTTTTGTTGTTGTTTAAAGTGCTTATCAGCATAATGATAAATGTCACGCACATTTGTGAAGAAACATCCTTTTTGGTCCCTTTTGGGAATGGCAGGCACTCCTTGATCTTTATGAATGACAGGTTACTGTTTTGCCTTACTTTATGTAGTGGAATAAAGCAGACAAAGCTTGAAAAAAAGGGGTAAAGTTTGAATAGACATTTCTCCAAAGAAGATACACAAATGGCAATGAGTACAGAAAAAGTCTCCAGCATCACTAATCATTACAGAAATGCAGATCAAAAGCACAATGAGATACTACCTCACACCCATTAAGATGGCTACCATGAAAAAAAAGCAGAAAATAACATGTTGGAAAGGTTGTGGAGAAATCAGAACTCTTGTGCACTATTGACAGGATGTCACTGTATGGTAGTTCCTCAGAATGTTAAAAATAGAATTACCATATGATCTAGGAATTTCACTCCAAATACACCTAAAAGAATTGAAAGCAGAAACTCAAGGAGATATTTGTATACCCATGTCCATTACATGATCAGCAATAGCCAAAATATGGAAGCCGTCCACTGAATGGATGAATGGAGAAACCAAATTGGTATGTACATGCAATAAAATATTATTCCACCTTAAAAAGGAAGGCAATTCTGACATATGGATGAACATTGAGGACATTATGCTGAGTGAAGGAAGCCAGGCACAAGAGGACAAATACAGCATGATATCACTTATATGAAGTACCTAGAGTAGTCACATTGATAGACACAAAAAGGAAAATGGTGTTTGCCAGGGGCTGGGGAAGACAGAAATGGGAGTTATTGTTTACTGGGTGCAGAGTTTCAAATTTGTGAGATAAAAAAGACTTCTGTGGATGGATGGTAGTTATTGCAGTGCAACAATATGAATGTACTTAATACCATTGAAATGTGCACTTAAAATTGTTAAGATGGTACATTTTACATTATGTGTATTTTACCACAATTTTTAAAAATTATTGAAGAATAATCAGAAGGAAATACAATAAAATGTGGAATGTTTGTCTCTAAGTGGTACTTTTCTACTATTTTCCTCTTCTTTTCCTATTTTCTACAATGACTATGTATTGCTATGTAGTTAGGAAAAAATAACTTAATTCAAAAGTTTCATAGAAAACTTACCCAAAGTTTGAGTTCATTGGATTTCAATCCATTCCTGATTTAGAAGAACTTTCTAGTTAAGAAAAAGACATAAAAACAGAGGACTTTGTTATAATTAGAGAATAAACAGAAGAAGGAATAGTCTCTACTCTATTTCCTGCATTATGTCATGAGCATTGTTGCATGTTTGCTATTTGAAACATCGGATAAGGGAACAGGAAGGTCAAGTTCCTGAGTTGCAAATGAGTGCGGAGAAGTTACAATTGTATCATCACTGTCCATCACTTTAGATATAAAAGGAAAAAGAATGTCACATCAAGGGAGACCAGATACTGCCCAGAGTGCTTGACTGGGGGACAAACCTCTTTTGGTTTCCTGCCTCCCTTAAATAGGGGAAAGGGCTTCAAATTTCTCCTTAAACTTTTGAAGAAGTTCAACCATAAAGAAGAGAAAACTCACCATCAGAGGATCAAACTATCAGTGGTGGTCATATCTGATAATTTCATTATGCGTGAAATAAAAGGAGTTTGCTGAAAAACCTTTGGGGTTGATACGTTATCTCCTGGAGTCCTGAAATTTTCATCCACTGACTTTAAAAAAGTCTCTTTACTACTTTTGGGGCCTGCCAGAAAAATGGGAATCCCCCAGTTATTTATACAAAAATGTTGCTAACGAAGTTTGCAATAATAATTACTACTTTATCGTATATTAAAATGACAATGTGGCCGGGCACAGTATCTTGCACCTGTAATCCCAGCACTTCGGGAGGCTGAGGCAGGCAGATCACGTGAGGTCAAGAGTTCAAGACCAGTCTGGCCAAAACATGGTGAAAGCTCGTCTCTACTAAAAATACAAAATTAGCCAGGTGTGGTGGGGTGTGCCTGTAATCTCAGCTACTCAGGAGGCTGAGGCAGGAGAATCGTTTGAATCCAGGAAGCAGAAGTTGCAGTGAGCCAAGATCAGGCCACTGCACTCCAGCCTGGGCAACAGAGCAAGGCTGTCTCAAAAAAAAAAAAAAAAAAAAAAGCAATGGATTACTCTTCCCAGTAATTTACATTTTTTCACCTCTCCTATAACCCTCTCAAAGGCCAGCTTATTCTCCTACAGCCCCTAAACCACCATCCTAGATAGAGGTCTCCTGTTCTTAACTGCCACTTATGAACCTTGCTTTCACACACTCGTATCCCCAACTTTGGAATTCATGTCACCAGATTCTATTCTCCCACTGCCCTTCATTGTTGCTATCAGCTGCCAGTTCTCAGGGCATTTTGGCTCCTGGATCACTTGGTCTCCACAAACCACTCTTATTCTTGGATATTTCAATAATCATGTGATGATCCAGGACTCTCCGTTCCTTGAAATCGTTTCTTCCAAAGATGTCCTTGACACAACCTCAGTCATTCACTTCCATGGTCATACAGCCTAAACTTTGTTATCATCAATCACAGCAACTCTTCCAGATTTTCGAATTCATGAATCTCTCTCTCTATTCACTAGTACCCATCTTGTCCCCTTTTAGTCTCCAAAATCCAACAATCCTAAAATCCCACTGGGACCTCAAATCTATGGATCCTATTCCTGAGCTCTTACTGTTCTTTTAGGATCTGTTTACCTTCTGCTCACTTAGGTGACTATTTCATTCTGTCTCTTCCTCCTCCACCCTCATCCTTACCAGACAAGGACTTCCACAGGCTACCACTCCCTTCTACGAATCTAACGGCAGCTGCACCCCATACTCTGTCAACCCTTTGGCTACCAGAGAGGGACCACCCATGCTCTTATCTAAAACCAAGAACTCCATTTGGGCACTAAGTCCACCTGTGTTTCTATTCAAGGGCAGCAGCATTTCTCTCTTCTTCCTCTCTCAATCTTTTACATCGTCAAGCTTTTGCTGTCCTTTGGCTCATTCCTATCTGTTTACAAGCATGCCATTATTTCTTTCATCTTAGAAGAAAAATCTCTTCATCTCACTTTCATCAGTAGTTATTGTCTTTTTTAGCAAAATTCCTTGAAAGAATTGTCTCTACTTGAGCTTCCAACCTCTCCCTTCCCATTCTCTTTTAAACGCATTCTAATTAGACTTTTGTCCCATTATGCCACGGAAACTAATTTTGTCAAAGTCACTGATCAATTCCATGTTGCTAAATCCAGCCCTCAATTATTATTATTATTACTTTTTTTGAGATGGAGTCACCATCTGTCACCCAGGCTGGAGAACAATGGGGCAATCTTGACTCACTACAACCTCCCTCCCAGGTTCAAGTGATTCTTCTGCCTCAGCCTCCCGAGTAGCTGCGATTACAGGCATTTGCTGCCACACCTGACTAATTTTTGTATTTTTAGTAGAGATGGGTTTTCACCATGTTGGCCAGTCTGGTCTCGAACTCCTGACATCAAGTGATTTGCCTGCCCCGGCCTCCCAAAGTGTTGGGATTACAGGCGTGAGCCACCATGCCTGGCCTCTAGCAGTCAATTCTTACTCCTTATTTTAGTTGACCTGCCAAAAATGTGTGACATAGAACCTCCCTCCTCTGCGGTGTTCCAGGAAACCATACTCTCTTGGTTTTCCTCCTGTATTACTGATCACTCCTTAGTCTTTTTGGCTGGTTCCTGCTCTTCTTCTAGATCCCTTGATGTTGGAATATGCAAAGGCTCAGTCTCAAACTATCTTCCTTTCTCCATCTAAACCTATTCCTTGGTGATTTCATTCAGTTCATGGTTGTAAATACCACATATGTATTAGTAATCATCAAATTCCTATCTCCAGCCCAAACTTCACCTTAAACTTCAGATGCATATTTTCAAATGTTAACTTGGTATCTGCACTTGAGTTCACATTGAACCCCTGGTTGGCCTCTGTTAATGACTGAACCTTGTCAGCAGAGTGAAATGAAAGGCCAACTGTTGATGAGCTGGGCATTCAAAAGAGGCTGAATAGGAGCAGGTGGGGTGACCGGAAGGGCCATGCCTTGTAGAAGGAACTTGGCTGGAAGGAACTGCTTGGCTTCCTCCTGTTCACTTTCAATTTGTGCATGGGCAGCTGTAGTCTTAACAAGGTTTTCTCCTGACAACTATGACTTGCGGGGATAACTGTCTTGAGACACTGTGGGACTTCTGAAACCTGTTTGCCGCATAATAACTAAGGCTTTTCTGTTCTTTCACTGTGACTTCCTTTTTCACACACAATAACTACTGGCTTGCAAATGAGAGGTATTACCAGCCTACTCAATGTTTCCAGATTTCTGACAAGGGCTAGATAAAGAAGTATTTAAATCATTAAAATCTTAAAGAGTCTCTGTGCTGTAGTTGTCTTTAATATATTTTTAAGAATCTAGGCCAGGCGCGGTGGCTCACGCCTGTAATCCCAGCACTTTGGGAGGCCGAGGTGGGCGGATCACGAGGTCAGGAGATCGAGACCATCTTGACTAACACGGCGAAACCCCGTTTCTACCAAAAATACAAAAAAATTAGCCAGGCGTGGTGCCAGGAGCCTGTAGTCCCAGTTACACGCGAGGCTGAGGCAGGAGAATGGTGTGAACCCAGGAGGCGGAGCTTACAGTGAGCCAAGATCACGCCACTGCACTCCAGCCTGGGCTACAGAGCAAGACTCCGTCTCAAAAAAAAAAAAAGAATCTAGATTTTTGAAACATAGTATCATTAGAAAGCAAAACAGGGTCATTGTAAAAAAATTTGGAGAAAAATAATATATAAAAGAACATAAGAATTATCTATGATCCCACTAAGAAATAAGCACTATGAATATTTTATTAGTTTTTCTTTGTATAGCTATAGTATTTATAATGAAATTTAAAAAAGTGTAAGTTTTCAAAATTTAACTAAGTATTCTTTGTCTGACTACAATTGACCAGTCTTTGTGCCTCTAGATTGAGATGCCCGGGTGTACTCAGAAATGATTTAGCAAAACACTGTGTCCCCCTGTGTGTTTTGGTGTGTGTGCTTCCTCTCACTCATGTTACAGTTAACGTGGTAATGTTTCCACACGTGCTAACTTCTGTTTTTCTTTCAGCCTTGCTTTAAAGCTGGACATCCTCACCACTCTGCCTGCCCCGACCTACTTAACACAAATGACTAACCCCGATAGCAAGCATCATCGGTGAGTGCCAACCTTTATCAAAACCCTTTCCTAGAAAAGATCTCTGATATCTTGGTATCGGGCAGGCATGGCGCAGTTGATAGTTGGAAGGAGGGAGTGGGGTAAGGCTAGAACCTCCCCTGGAGCTGGCTGTGAAAGTCAGGAAGGCACCTTGAAGGACAGACAGGGCTTCAGGTTCTTGGGAGAGCGTGCTCTGGCAAGTGTGTCATCTCAGGCAAAGCAGATCTAAACAGACAATTGGCAGTTCTGGTAACCAGCAGGGTTAGAATGGATTAAGCACGCAGCCTGAGGTAGAGAGATGGAGTCATGCTAACAGCCTAGCATAGCAAGGAGGTGGAAATAGTAATCATTACTATTTATTGAGTAAATACTGCTACCAATAATGGTCAACTCATAAAACTGTAGTGAGTATTAAGATAACGTATATAAGCATTGTAACAGAAAGGCTGACACACGGAACATGCTTAACAAATACTTATTGAAGAATAATGCATGCCACTTATTGTTATTAACTATCATTATTCAGCACTGGTGAACAGATGAGAGTGTCATTTAGGGTGGGGGAAGGGGTCTGCTTCCTTACATCTTTAAACACTGCCTGTTCATGGATTTCCTCCACCCCATGATCTATCCAGTTCATGGTGGATCCCAACCACATGGTAAATCTCCTGCTTCCAAGTGAGTGCTTTTTTGCATTTATTGCACACTAGGTAACCTGGGTTCTAATCCCGACTCCATCACAAACTAGCTATGTGTGAACTTGCAAAGTCAACTTTCCCCGCTAGACCTCAGTTTCCTCCTATCTAAAGTTGGGGATTTTTGCTAAAGTCTTTAAAGTCCCTTTCGATTCTGTGATTCTGTAGTGCTACTTCCACCCTCCCAAAGTTCAGCAGCAGGTGACCAGGGATCAGTGCTAGCCTGGTCTGCTACAGCAGGATATACGTAGACTCAATTTGTTTCTATCAAGCATTGCTATAAGGGTCTTAATATATTAACTCATTCAATTAAAAAAAAAAAACTTAAGGAAAAGGGACGTTGTTATCCTCATGTTATGGATGAGAAAATTAAGGCCCTTAGTGATTAACTTGGTCATGGCCAAAAAGCAAGGAAGAGACAAAGCTGATACTAACACAGGCAGTCAATGCATCATATTAAAAGCATCCTGTCCTACAGGTTCCCATTTACACTTGATAAAGGTATCCTAGATTAGGTGTTATTTTGAATAGATAGTAAAGTCTTGTTTTTAAATAACCTGAAAGAACAAGAGCAAAAACTTGGCCATGCTATGGATAAGCTGCTTTAAAACACACACCTGCTGATACAGAATCTATAGTATTCATTTTGGGACTCTTTAAATATATTTAAATGGAGCAAATATTCAGGGTGTGTTGTTTTGTTATGTAACACCAAATCAAAGGAGGCATCTGGAAGGATCTGGAGCCTTTCAAATGTTACAACCTTCTACCATTTCTAGTTGAGCAGGTGTTATTATATACTTATGAGAAAATAGATGCCGTTCTTCAAGTGTTATGTTGATGAATTTATGAATTAATTTTTCAATTTAACCCATGGGGAAAATTTCCTTTGTGAGCTAGAGAGTTTTAACAGTGTTAAGTCTCATTGACTTATATGACTGCTTTCTACCAAAGTCAGTGGCCACTTTGTCCTGTTAGGTTAGCCATTTCTTAGGACCCAGACCTTTTCTCTACTCAAGAACTTATTGAAATAAATTGTGATGATTTCTTCTTCATCTCTGTACACAACTAGCTCTTTTTGAAGATCAAGACTATATATTCTTTTATCTCTGAATTCCTAGTACCTAGCCCAATGCATGACACATTGTAGGTGGACAATACAGAAAAAAATTGAGTAGGACAGTAGAGATCCATGAAATTTTATTTATTTAGCAAATCTGTATTGTCCACCTACAATGTGTCATGCTTTGGGCTAGGTACTAGGAATTCAGAGATAAAAAAAATATATAGTCTTGATCTTCAAAAAGAGCTAGTTGTGTACAGAGATGAAGAAGAAATCATTACAACTTATTTCAATAAGTTCTTGAGTAGAGAAAAGCTCCGGGTCCTAAGAAATGGCTAACCTAACAGGACAAAGTGGCCACTGACTTTGGTAGAAAGCAGTCATATAAGTCAAGTCTTCCCAGGGGTAGTGATGTTTGAGCTGGGTCCTAGAAATAAAATAGGCCACAAAGGAAGGAAATGGTCTTGCAAGCAGGAAAAGTAATAGTGGTGACAAGAGTATGGCATGGTTGGGAAAGAACAAGTAGCTTGACACTACTGAAGTTTAGCTTCATCTGGGGTGTTGGAGAGGAATAAAAGATGTGACTGGAGAAGCATGTAGCTGGGAAAGCAAGAAGGCTATAAAGATATGTGCTCAGAAAAGGAGGCCTCTGAACAGCATGATCTGATACAAATTGTTCAAAAACAGCCCTGCACCCAAACTAGAGATGGAGGAGATCAGGGTATGGTGCAGGATGCTGAGGGCCTGAACCAAGTGAGAATGGATCGATATGGTAGATTCAAAAGATATTTAGAGAATGGAATCAATGTGACTTCAAAATTGATTAGCTATTGTTGATTTTTTTAAAAATAAGACATCTAGGGTGACTTCAAAGTTTTTGGCTTGGCTGAATCTAGGGTGAATTTTAGTGCCAGACAGTAATATAAAAAGTACTGGTTGGTGGAGGCAGTAAATGATGAGTTCAATTTTGAAAATGTTAGATGTGAGATGCCTGTGGAATGCAGAGTAGAAATGGTAAGTAAGCATTTGGATAGGAGTCTAGACTCAGGGAGAGGAATGGCAGGGCCTTTAATATGTTAATGTTAAGTACATCCAAGGTGAACATACAGCAAGAGAGAAAGAGGGTAGAGAGCAGAATCTAACATGTATAATGGGGCAGAGAAATAAAATAGAGAAGTAAGAGCAGCCAGAGACGTGGGAGAAAGATCAGAAGATCAGATGTGGCAGGAAGATCACTCAAGGTGATATGGAAACCAAAGGAGGGAATTTAGAGAAAAAGAGTTAGTATCATAATAGTGTCATAATTGCAGAGAGAGAGAGAGAGAGAAAATAAAGTCTAAAAATCAGCCTTTGGGTTTGTCTCCTGGGAAGCCTCTGATACATGAAAGTAAGTAAGTTCAGGGCAAACGCCAGATTGCTGGGAGGTAGAAGTAAAAGGTGAAGAAATGGAGCCAAGGAGTAGAGGTTTGTCTATGGAGAAGTGTGGCTGAAAGGCACAGGAGAGAAAGGGAAGTGGCCCAAGAGGGATGCAGCCACAAAAAGGGGTTCGTTTGTTTGTTTGCTTTTTTCAGGATATTCACACTTAAGCATGCTTACTAAACGCAGCAGAGGGCTGAGAAGGCAGCGTCCTCCAGAAAGAGGAAAAAGGAAGGGAACAGACTCCAGTTGTAAGGATTGGTTTGCTTTGCCTTGGGGAGGCAGGACACCTTTTTTACTGAAATAGACAGGAAAGAGGCAGAGGTGCCCTGGTTGTGTGAGGTTTTTAAGTAGAGGGCAGGGGAAGGGGAGGAAGGAAGTTGGTGGAGTTACCTGCTTTTAGGCTGAGAGTAAGAAGTGAGGTGGCAGAACTGAGGCTTGAGGAGAATGAAAAACTTTCAGAAGAGTCCCTGAGAGGAGTGGCCCGGGAAGCTGCCCATCCAGGTAGCACCAAGGGTCCAGCTGAGAGTGTGACCAAGAATTTTAGTGGCATTAATTGTGTGGCGTTTTCTCCAGAAGCCTTTAGGAGTCCAGATGGGGGAGCAGATAAGGCAGTGGGTGGATTAATTAAGAGCTGGGGTTTTGTTGAATAGGCTGAGCAGAAAACCAAGGGAAAAATAGTAGCCATGGTGGTAGTCACTGTGATATTAACTACCCTTTATTAAGCACTTACGATTGTGCTTAATCATTATGCTTAAGGACTGAGGGGCCTGTGGGAACAGGTTAGTGATGGCTCAGAGGAATGGTGACTGGGAGAAATGAGGGCGGGGACCAGCACCTAGAGGTCTTGACAGATGGGCTAACGAAAGCAGAGATGAAGAACGAAGGCTGTTTTTTAGGGAGTTGGATACTGAAGTATAAAATTTGAGAGCTAGACCCTGCCTCAGGGACTGTAAGCTCCAGAATGTGAATCTGAGAGTCAGCGGTGAAGGAGGAGAAAGGTTTTCAAGTCACTTTTTGACTCACTTGAGTGAAGGAGGTCATCGAGTGAAGGTTCAGTTGTCCTCAAAGACACTGGAATTGGATGATGGGAGGATATGGGGTGAAAATGCATCTATGAATCGATAGCTCACTCAGGCTCTAAAATGTGAGCCTAGTCTGCAGGTAGAACTTGCAGTGAGCCATGATCACAATCACATCACTGCACTCCAGCCAGGGCAGCAGAGCGAGACCCTGTCTAATAAATAAATAAATAAAATGTGAGACTGCTGTTGCAGAATATATGGTATCTTCTGTATCCCATGTATCAAATGCCCCAGAGCATTTCTCTTCCTACAAGTCTCTGTCACAAGTGCTTGATGAACATTCTGGTGAGAACACGTGCTTGGGAATAAGGTGATCGGAGGTCACTTTACTGAGTGAAAATATATTCAAAGGATGTGCCCCAAAAAGGCCCCACAGAGAGCTAGAAAGAGCAGAAGGCTAGAAGGAGAGCCTAACCTTATCTACATAATGGTGCGGGAGTCTGTATAGCACAGAATTAACAGAGTAAGGGTGCTTCTAACAGCTGCTGAGCTGCCCTGGCAAGCTGTGCCTTCAGAAGCCTAAACCAAGTTTCTCATGTCCCAAGGAAGAGGGTAGGTTTAGAGTAACAGGAAATCTAGGCTCAAAGGGCTTCAAATGTTGCTTATTCAGTAACCTGCAATCTTCAGAAGTGTATGTCAAACCTAATACATTAATATCTCAAAAGAGATGTTACCACTTACAGTTTATTATCTTTCACAATAATTATTTGGGGCATGACCTCAGGGAAGAAAATTTCTTGGTAATGATATAGTTATCTTGGAAAATGACGACTGGCTGACCAGCAGTGTCCAAACTTTAATTAGAGCTGAAGCTATTGTGAAGAAATGCCAACTAAAAGGACACATGATGAGGTTCTAAAATTTTTTGTAGGAAAAAAAGGTAATTATGAATGGACAAGGCTTTTGTTGGCAATTCTGCAGATATTTTGGGTGCATATTATGCACTGATGAAGAAAGCACCACAGTAACCAGATGTGCTGGGGTTAAGGTCAAAGTAGTGCTGGGTGAGCCAGTGACACAATGCACTTTGAAGTGCAGTAGGAGCATATACAAAGACATGACAAAACTGAATATAAGTACATTATGTGCAGATATAAATTACTAAATCCAAAATATGGAAATCCATAAGAACAAGAAATGGGTTAAGAAGTTACTTGCACACAGGTCAGGCCAAGTTTCCATTCCCCCTTCCCTGCCTTTTTTTTTTTTTTTTATTTTTAAGCCAAAAGAATTATTAGACTGAAGTAAAAGCTACAGTTGACAGAGAAGCAATCAACACAAGAAAAATGAACCAATAGTAAGTGTTTCCATTGGTATTTCCTTCTCTGTTCACTGACTTTGCTGCACCCGCTTGTTCCTAGCACTAAGACTCAGTCCTCTCTTCTTTCATGTAGCTGGTTATTTATATGCCAAATAAAAAGAAGGAAAAACTTTTATCTTCCAAAGCTGCATAGTTTTATTTACTATATAATAATAGCAATATAGTTCTATTTAATAAATTACATTTGTTTTCTCAAAAAATGATGTAAGTATATTATATAATAATTTAAAAATCTTATGTAAGAATATCATGTTATGTAGAAAGAAATAGAGAGAAGGAAGGGAAAAAGACAATCTATCACTATAAGACAACACTTTCAGACTATTTCTGAATTTATGTCTATACCATTTTATGTAAATAGTTGTGTACATACAAGTTATTCAATCCTGAATCTGTTTTTCAATTAGTATTTTCTGTGCTGGTACTATCTTCTTATCCTATCATGTTTTTGGGTACTGTATCGTTTGCTTAACCTCCCCCTTTTATGAGAATGATTGCAATTATTTGTTATTATAACTTTATGGTGAACATGTTTGTGAATTATTCCCTTATCCAGAATTATTTCCTCCTTAGGATGGACTCCCAGAAATGAAATTATTGCATATAGCCATTGGCATATACTATGGTCCATTAATAGCCCTTGATCTAGATAACGTTTAAAGTCCCCCCCACCCCTGAGTTCAGAAGTTCAGTGAAACAAGCAGAATGAACCTGTAGTATTCACGCTGAGACATTTCACCCTTTCTATCACTCTTATTTGAAAAAATATTGGCTATCTTCTGCATCCCTTCAATTGTATAATAATTTACGAGGAAATATGGTTTATTAGACTATAGGTCTGATAAAGGTTCGATAAAACATTTCTCTGTCAAATATTTTGTACATCTACACTTAGGAAATTGAACAGATGGCACTATTAACTGAGTTCTGTAACCAAGGCCCAGTAAAGTTCAAAGATACTGCACTGGCTAAGAAAATACCCACTTCTCAAATGCATTAGTGTAGCATGTCTGAAACTTTAGCCATTTGCATGCCATCTTCATAACTTTTGCCAAATCTGCAGATTACCTGTAATATTATGTATTTAATCATTTCCTTAAAATCAATAGTAAATTAGCTCAACTTCTTACTTAACACTTTCCTAAACAATAGTTTTCGTTAAATTCTAGGTTTTATAAGCAAATTATGTTTTTAACTTATATTAAGCTAGCAAATAACTCAAAAATTTTAAGTTTAGACATGTACTGCCTAAAATCAGTAGCATGTATCCCATACTTAGGAAAAGTTGTATTTATATTTATCTGATATTTAAGTTATAATCATCTCTTCTTTTCTTCAGACATAGAAGAATGATAGCACCAGATAATATTCTTACCTGTAAGTTTGTAAAGTTTGCCTATCCCACAGTTCTCTCTATATAAAGCATATTACAACATTCTGCAAAAATAGTTGTCACCATCAATAACAAGAAACAAAGACTCCCCCATATAGAGAGGCGACAAATACAATACGAAATACAAAAAAAACACAAAAATGTGGAATGTATTTTCACCAAAAGTTTAAATGCTCATTCCTTTAAGAGTTCTTCAATCCACAGGCATTTAAAATTTCAAGAAAGAGAATCATTTACAATGAACAGTTTATGCCAAAAAGCCATCATTCTCTGCAATAGATTAGAGAACAATAAAAGCAGTTCATGCCTCGTGTTCGTGGTAAAGGGATCAGTAAAATTGTTTGGGATAGGAGGTGCCATGGGACTTCAGAAATATCTTAAAATGCACAGGAAAACTGCAGGCTCTAAATCCAAACCTAGATCACATGGCACTTGCTGGGAGGAATTGTTACAGCTTAACACATCAACCAAGCTCATCACAGTATTATTTTATATGATAATGCCTAATATCCATCATCATTTACACATGCCTTTTCTTTAGAGCTTAAAATAGATTTTGAAAAGTTTAAAGTAATTATTGGCTTCCTACTCATGCAGATAGAGATACTATACAATTTTGGTGTCTTCTTGGGGGAAGAATTTAAGGGATTCATCTCAGATTTAAAAGATCTTTGATATGGGGAATAAGTTATTTCTAAAATAATTTTAAGTATTTTGTTTCTCTTGAGGCTTGAGGTTGATAGGGTGGGAAGGAGGTGGGAAGAGAGAAGTAAATTATTTTGGTCACCAGACAAAGACTGGACTTGACATTGGTCTGGAGTCTAGAGTGTATCCCAAGTGCATAAATTATACCCCAATTCAAATGGATATTGTTTCTCATAAGAGAATTAGTAGCACAAAGTGAAAAGAAAGTAAAAGGGAGAGAGAGAGAGAGAGAGAGCGAGAAGTATATATTGCAAACAGAGATGCCATTATATTGCGACATAAAGTCCTCTGCTTCCTGATCCTGCCTCTGTTTGCACCCTCACCCACCCTCAAATCCCAAACCATCTTAAAGGTTTTAATTTGTGGCTTTCCAAAGTACTCTAAAGCACTCATTTCAAACACTAGAATTTTTTAATGAAAGGACTCTTCTAAATAGACATGCAAAGGAATTTAATTTTTCTAGATGCTTTATCTCTAAACAATGCTTCCACACACTCAGAATTCCCGTCAATTCTCCCCATATCTGATGAGTAAGTCTCGTGCCCTATCTACCTGTTTCCTAGCAAAATTACTGATGCCGTCATAAAAGTGGTAGTTTCTATCATTACCTATGTATTCCAGGCCAAAGTCATAAGAGTTATTTTTTTTCAAATAAATAATCCTAACAATCCTTTAATTAAACATCTCAATTAAGTGAAAGTAAGACCAGAAGCTTAGTGATTTAAGAACCTTGTTATTAAAACCTTATGAAAAACTGGTTTGCTTTCTCCCCTTCATAACGACTACAGTTTACTATTGTAGGTAACTCTTCCCTTCTCTCCCTCCTCTTCCCCACTCCACCCCCTTCACCCCACCAACTCACCCTCCCCTTTCTGGAAAGTTTCTATTACACAAGTGCCAAGGTTCTTAGAGCTCTAAAGTTATTTAAATGTAGACAAGATCAGCAGATGGAAACCGAGTCAACACTTAAGAAAAATACTTCCTCATATATTATGCCATCTACTATGTTTTGTCATTTAAAAGATGATACTCACTTTTATCTTGAAGAGGAAAAATACTTTAAGACCAGCAAATCTAACTCGGAGCAGAGTGAATTCTGGTACAGCCTCTTTGAAATACACTGTTTCTCATAAATGGCATCAGTTTCAGGAAGTAGGAATTAAAAAAAAAAACAAAAAACAAATCCTGTGACTGTCTCAGAATATGGTTGTGTAATTCAATTCCGGGACTTTCAGCAATCTTGCACCATAAGACACACCCCTTTAGGAATTGCTTCAGCGAAAGGTATTCTGGGAACAGAAAAGTTCCTTCTCCTAATGAAAGTGAAAGAAAAACTTATTATTTAGACTAAGAATGGAGAGTCCTCTTAGAGCCAAGAAGAGAGAATGTCAGTAAGAAACAATGAAAGTGACATTGTTGAAATCTATTATGAAAAGACAGACGCACACTAAGGCTTCATTCTGTGCTCTGTCTTCGAAGTGAGCTTGCTATCACAGAGACACACGTATTACTAGGTTTATTTGGATTGGTAAAGAAAGTTAGGACTTTTTGGGTAGAATATCTGATTAGGCTAACTACTTTGACAGTGAAGAGTGTCTTATTGAGTTACACAGTGGACACTGTCCTTCAGTGGAACAACTGAAATCTGCAACTCGAAATTTTGACCAAAAAAACAAAAGTGCATAAGATTTCTAAACGTCAAAATATATGTTATGGGAAAAGCTATTGAGATGAACAATATTTTAATTTTCTCAATCCTTTTCGAGCCTGCTGGGTTAAAGAAGTTTCCTCTAGAGTGAAGGAATCAGTTTTATTAACAGTAATTTGATAAATTTTGGTAAGGCCTTTGGTATACTTCCTAGAAACTGACAGAGTAAAGGACTCCAAAAGCTGGGTCATAAATGCTTTGGCAAGTCAATGGTTTACAACAAAATAGGAGGAAATAATTGAATAGTCAGCTGCTAGATCAATTAAAACACTTTTTTTTTTGTGATAGATCACTATGTAATGTTTAATATATGACCTTAGAAGTTTAAATAACCAAATGGCATTGCTATAACAAAATTCTATCTCTATTTATTTATGTAAACACAGTTCCTCTCCTCTTCCATGTGTATATTTTTGTGGAATGTTGTTTTGTTCTAACTACAAGTAATATTCATCCATGGACTAATTTTTTGAAACTCCACAAATCTTATTGAGAAACGCCTTTTGAACAAATTTTATCATTTAATATTCATCAAAACATATCATTTTATTTTTGTCTTTTTCATCAATTATGAATCAATACTTGTACAATTCAATTTTTAAGAATGTTTAATACTTAGAGTCTATGGTCACAGAAAATAGAAATGTTTAATTTCTTTTTTTCTTTTTTTTTTTGAGATGGAGTTTCGCTCTTGTCGCCCAGGCTGGAGTGCAGTGGCACGATCTCAGCTCACTGCAGCCTCTGCCTCCTGGGTTCCAGCGATTCTCCTGCCTCAGCCTCCCAAGTTGCTGGTATCACAAGTGCCTGCCAGCATGCCCAGCCAATTTTTTGTAGTTTTAGTAGAAGCAGGGTTTCACCATGTTGGTCAGGCTGGTCTCGAACTCCTGACCTCAGGTGATCTGTTCGCCTCGGCCTCCCAAAGTGCTGGGATTACAGGCATGAGCCACCGCACCCGGCCAGAAAGGTTTAATTTCAATATATACTTTTTTTGAAAGACAGAGTGTTGCTGTGTTGCCCAGGCTGGAGTACAGTGGCATGATCTCCACTCACTGCAACCTCCTGCCTCCTGAGTTTAAGTGATTCTCCTGCCTCAGCTTCCCAAGTAGCTGGGACTACAGGCACCCACCACCACACCCTGCTAATTTTTGTATTTTAGTAGAGACAGGGTTTCACCATATTGGCCAGGCTGGTCTTGAACTTCTGACCCTGGGTGATCTGCCTGCCTTAGTATCCCAAAGTGCTGGGATTACAGGCTTAAGCCACTGCACCTGGCCTACATATTTTACCGTAAAGAAATAGGACAGGCCGGGCGCGGTGGCTCACGCTTGTAATCCCGGCACTTTGGGAAGCCGAGGTGGGCGGATCACGAGGTCAGGAGATCGAGACCATCCTGGCTAACACGGTGAAACCCCATCTCTACTAAAAATACAAAAAATTAGCCGGACATGGTGGCGGGCGCCTGTAGTCCCAGCTACTTGGGAGGCTGAAGCAGGAGAATGGCGTGAACCCGGGAGGCGGAGCTTGCAGTGAGCCGAGATCGCGCCACAGCACTCCAGCCTAGGCGACAGAGCCAGACTCCACCTCAAGAAAAAAAAAAAAGAAATAGGACAAAAACTTTCAAGTATATAAACTCTTTTATACTGGGATAAACTTCTATGGATGAAATGAAAATGAAACAGAAGCTTAAGGAAATACAGGAATGGTATAAAATTTCCATTTGTTAAAAAAGATATTGTGCATGTGTCTTTATTTTTAAATTTTTTTAATTTTAAACTTTTTTGAGACAGGGCTGTCACCCGGACTGGAATGCAGTGGCACAATCACAGCTCACTGCAGTCTTGACCTCCTGGGATCAAGTGATCCTCCTGCTTCAGCCTCCCAAGTAGCTCGGACCACAGGTGTACACCATCACACCTGGCTAATTTTCGTTTTTGTTTTTGTTTTTTGTTTTTTGTAAAGACAGTGTTTCTCCATGTTGCCCAGACTAGTCTCGAACTCCTGGGCTCAAATGATCTACCCGCCTGAGCCTCCCAAAGTGCTGGGACTATGGAAGTGAGCCACTGCGCCCAGCCTGTACATGTGTATTTAAGTGAGTGATGGGGAACATCAAATCACTAGGATATAAAATTTGTGTTGGATACATTTAAAAGAGTAACGCATGAGTTATGTTTATTCAACATCAGATTTAGACCCTTTGTATCTAAAGTTATAATGAAAGATGAATATCTACTTCATGTGAAGGAGTTAACTGTCTTTGCAAAATTCTATTTGGGGGTAGGAGAGCAAAAATGTTGGAAATACAGTGTTGAGGACGAAGGGCTGTACATTTCAGAGCCTAAAAAAGGGCACTGCACACTTGAGTATGGAGAGAGAGGCAACGGCACCGATAGAAGAGGAGGGATCTCATACAAGACATTTAGCTTCCTTACAGTTTGGACAACAGTCAAGATTGTCTTCAACAGGGATTCCTGGTAAGAGCCTTAGAGTCACGTAAAACACAAAGACAAAATGTCTCATTTATAATCCAGCGGTGAGTTTTAGTAAGATTTCAAAGATGGAAGTTTCATTACACAAATTTCAACTATTTTAAGTGATTGAGCTGTACACCTATATAAGGCATACATTATGACACACAGGAAAACTGGCTGCAGCATCATATTCATTTTGATTTTCTAGGTTTTATCATCTTGAATATAAAGTATAAAATGCTGATACAAGCTGATATCATTCGTTCATCTCAATAACATGTTTAGAGAATCTTTTGTGTCAAGTGCTACACTGGTGCTACAGATTCAGACTGTGCACACAAGCAGTGCCCTTAAGGCAATCACAGTGATCGATGGGTTAGTAGTGATGTGGCCAGAGATTAGTCGGAAAAAATTGGCAAGAGTTGGCTCATAATAGGAGGTCTTTGTGTTTCATTTTAAGGAATTTGGATATTTATATTGAAAACATAGAGAATTTGGGCTGGGCATGGTGGCTCACGCCTGTAATCCCACCACTTTGAGAGGCTGAGGCGGGCGGATCACGAGGTCAGGAGTTCAAGACCAGCCTGGTCAAGATGGTGAAACCCCGTCTCTACTAAAAATACAAAAATTAGCCGGGCGTGGTGGCAGATGCCTGCAGTTACAGCAACTCGGAAGGCTGAGGCAAAGAATTGCCTGAACCCAGGAGGTGGAGGTTGCAGTGAGACGAGATTGCGCCACTGCACTCCAGCCTGGGCGACAGAGCAAGATTCCATCTAAAAAAAGAAAACAGAAAATTGCAAATAATGTAAAATCATAAAATTGTTTTAGAAAGAATAGTTACTGGTGTGGGAAGGTTGGCTTATGGAGCAAGGTTTATGCAAGGGAGGGATCCTGGTGGTGGATGGGTAAGGAGGCAAGACTGGAATTAGGAAAATGAGAAGAGTACTGCAGTATTCTAGAGAGAAGTGATGACTGAGCTTAATTAATGACAGTCACAATGGAATAAAAAGGAAGGGAAAGAAATATTTAGGAAATAGATTCACAGGCCTGGGTGAGAGACATAGAAATATGGGTAAATGAATTAGAGGCAGTCAAAAAACTAATTATAGTTAGATGTTACCAAAGGGGAATGTACAGGATAGAAAGAAGGCCACAGAGATGAAAGATGGTAATACCGGCATTGATGCAGAAAAAGAGAGATCCGTAGAGGAGATGGGAAAAGAACGCCTAGAACAGTAATAGAAAAACCAAAACAAAGTATATCCTGAAAACAGGACTGACAAGAGAATTTGCAGGGCCTCTTGTTCAAAAATATTAAGCATTTCAGGTTGGTGATTGCCGATACAAGCATGGAACTGTAAGTGCAGGGCCCTGTGGATTGCACAGGTAACACACTCATGAAAGCCTGCTTAAAAGCCCAGTAGGTGGAAGTGACAGTGTCAATGAAGTGAAATTGGTCAACAAGAATAAATGATGCAGAGAAGTGAAGTAGGATGAGAAAAGTGTCCTATGGCTTGGCAAGTAGGTCAAGGATGGGTATAAAAAGAACAAATCAGTAAAGCAGTGGCAGAAAGCAGATGATGGAATATTTTAAAAATCCTAGGCCTGTGCAGTGACTCATGCCTATAATCCTAGCACTTTGGGAGGCTGAGGTGGGTGGATCACCTGAGGTCAGGAGTTCGAGAACAGCCTGACCAACACGGTGAAACCCCGTCTCTGCTAAAAATACAAAATTAGCTGGGGGTGGTGGTGGGCGCCTGTAGTCCCAACTACTCAGGAGGCTGAGGCAGGAGAATTGCTTGAACCCAGGAGATGGTGATTGCAGTGAGCCAAGATCACACCACTGCACTCCAGCCTGGGCAACAAGAGTGAGACTCCATCTCAAAAAAAACAAAACAAAAAACAACAACAACAACAACAACAAAAGACAACAACAACAAAAAACCTAGTAAGATGAATAAGTAGAGTCGGATGAGAATCTTCCAACTGAAGCCTAGATTAAGTAAAATATACAGGTGGTACGTACTTTGAGAAGGGGCTATATCCTTCCAAGGGTCCTTCAGCGTTGGAGGAAGGTGAGTTCAAGGTCACCTTAACCATTTTAATATGTAATAAACTTGAAGGCCCCAGATATCAGAGAATAGTGACATTTCTATGGGGATAGGAACTAGAATGCCATTCTGGAACTTTCTTTTCAGATTTACGTACCTAGTTGACAGCACAATGAGGATAAACACAAAGAGAGAATCAGAGAGATGGATGAAAAAAGAACTTAGTCCAGATATGGCACTTTTCTGAGCCAACTTTTGCTATTTTACTTTATGAGGAAATAAAATCATTGTGTTAAAAATGTTATCTTATGATCCCCCATTAGTGGTTTAAAATGTTGTTCCTTGTTGGGAAGCTAGTAATTCATAGCATGGTGGTTCACACCTGCAACCCTAGCACTTTGGGAGGCTGAGGCTGGTGGATCCCTTGAGTCCAGGAGTTTGAGAACAGCCTGGGCAACGTGGCAAAATCCCGTCTCTACAAAAAACACAAAAATTAGCCAGGCAGCTGTAGTCTCAGCTACTTAGGAGGCTGAGGTGGGAGAAGTCGAGGTGGCTGAGGCTGCGGCAAGCCATGATTGTGCCACTGCACTCCAGCCTGAGCAACAGAGAGAGACTCTGTTTTGAAAAATAAACTAAACTAAAATAAAAGTTAAGGGAAAAGTACAAACACTTGAAGTATAAAAATATAAATACTTAAATGTAACATTGAAGAAGGGGAG